GATGAGGTCAAATATGATCTGTGTCAGACAGTTGAGTGACTTCACTGGGTTTGGGAGATACCCATCTTTAGGTATTCTTTTTAATCTCTTTGCACTTCAATCTTTTCATCATTCAAATGGGGAGGGAGCAGCCGTGTTTACTTCCTCCCATTACATACCTAATTACTGCTGTTGAGGAAGTTTCACTTCTGCTGTTGGTAAAGTCTCATGTTTCAGCTGCAGCCTTTGGGTAGCTTTTCCTTCACAAACCACATGGACCAAGTCAGGCTTGGCACAGTGAACAGGCTCAGCACAAAGGACACTCTAATTCCACATGGTGATATCTTCATAAGGGACAGCTCCTTATTAATGAATTTATTTACCAGTCAGTGGAACACAATTTTGTCCCTCACAAGCTGTGAGAAAATCTGAGCAAACTCAATGGAAAAAAGTCCAACATGGATCAAAATCATTAACATGTTCATTAAAGGAAGGAGGCAGTTATCCTGACTGATTTCAGGGATATGCCATGACTGTGCCATAGGTAGATCATGCAGCATCTCAGGGCTCCACTGGGGTTTGTGAAACAAGTGGTGAACACAACTTACAAACAGTGGGAGATAACTCAGAATCTATTTCTTGAGGCAAGACCATTTTTCTGTCTCACTGGGGAGAGTTCCAGCTAAACCAGGGACAAGGACACATTATTCCTTATGTTCCCAGGAAAAGAGATGAGCAGGACAGAATTGTTTAGTTATAGAAAATATATTCAGGACCCTATAAAGTGTCAGGCTTAACCAAGACTTTGCCTTTAATAGCCCCCAGCACTGTATTCAATCCCCTTTAATAGACTCTTATGAAGGTGCAGGGCATCGGGGAACTTTTCCTAGTCCTTTAGAGAGTGCTGAGCTTATTCTTTAAACAGGAAGTCATTTAGCTTCAATTCTTTTATCCTGGTGCAGTCTGTTGGATGGTTGCATTATCCATGGCAAGTTTTAGTGGATTTTTGGATACTTGCTAATGTCCTGTGTGGCTCTGTGATCAACTGGCAGCAAAGCTGGAGATGTTTCTCCCTGTGAGCTTTGAATGGTTATGTTTCCATTTCACTTTCCAAACCTGAGCGAAATTAGAATTTCCAATTTCAAAAGCTCTTTCCTTTCCTTTATCAGCAGTAAAGAAGAAATGGGAACACTTGCCTGGCCTGTTCTGTGCTGTTCATTATTTCACAGAAATATATCACTAGGTTTTTCTTCTCCTTCATAAAGTCTCTACAGACAGGCTCTTTAACTGTGCCTCTTCCCAGAGCTTTCATTATTTTCATCACCTAACATATAATACATATAATACTTTTATGCCTCGTTTAGTAGAAAACCATGTAAAGATCAAATTTCAGTTTAAAATATGAAAGTCACCTCTAAGCCTTGTTAACAATGTTACTGAAATAACCAGAATACAGAAGTAATATGAATAATTGCTCCTCTTTTATTGTTTGGGGAAAAGTGAATAAATGCCTAGCAAATTTTTTCTGTAACCTTTTAAAAAGAAATGTATTTCAGTGACTGTAAAATATGTTCTTGTTTGACTGCTGAGGAACAAATTGGTTGGATGGCAAGTCAGGAGCCAAAGCAATTCCAAAGAGGAGAGGTGGGCTCTGGTTTATAAACACAGAAATCCCAAGGACTGTGTGTGGCTGGAACAGCCTCTCAGAGGAATTGACACTTTTATCATCCTAGGAGATTAAGTGAGAGGTTGGTGCAATAACTTTATTGGTTTAAAGTATGGTTTGTTTTGGATAAAACAAGATGAGACCTTTTGCTGCCTAAATCAAATGTGTCACTTTTTGTCCCTTTTCCTGTTGATAACTTTGTCCTGGGAGTTATCTGTTCAATAAAGACTGCCACATTTAGGAGCCCAAATTTTGTTTTGTAACCTCCCCACCCTGAAACCTGTGTATATAGCTATAAACACTGAAAATGTTAACATTTCTAGGTTCCTGATGTTTGTTCTTGCAAACAGCTCCCAAACAGACCAGAATTCATCAGAACTATAACAAATCCCTTTTTGCTTTCCCACTGGTGCCATTTTAAAAATAGCAACATCTTTATTGCAGCACTTCTGAGGGAAAAGGGGCTCCTTTACCCTTCCACAGACAGACAGACGCTCCTCTGTCTCCAGTCCTCGACTGCTGCTCTCTCCCACCACTGCAATTGTCAGCACAAGGACCACGGAGCAGGATGATATGGGAACTGAAGCAGATGCGTGTGGAGCACAGAGACAGGCTCAGTGTGGGTTTACTCTCAAAGGAAAGGAGGATCCAGTCACCAGTGTGTGTCCAAGCAAATCTCAGGGAGGTTTAAAGTGACTTAGAAGGACTAATGGAAGATGCCCCTGGTGACTATAGCTGATAGCAGGTCCCCCTGGCTGTGCCTAAATCCCTGGCACACTTCCCTCACCACAGTAGGTCCCACAGGGGTTTTAAGCCCTCCACCTTCACAGTGAACACAACCCCCTGAAGCTCTTGGCAGTGTTTTCCTCCTTGCTGCTGCAATGGCTCCATCTCACATGGCTTTTGTTTCAGGTGATGGAGCCGTGAAAGCCTCTTGGAAACCAGTGCTGTTTGAGGGCTGACATGATGTCAAATTGCACTCTGAAATGCCTCAGCCCACAGCACTTGCTCAGCATTGTGTTGGTTGAATAGGAGCAGGGAATGGAGCCTTGGAAGGTTTTGCAGATGAGGGAGCTGGATGAAACTAATAATAATCCACTACGATTTCTTGTCTATTTATGCAGACTCTGAAGTCAATATCTTAGAAGCAAAGGCTGGTACCTGCTGCAGTGCCTGTGCCTGCCTGACTTTTGAATGCCTTCAAAGAGGCTCTTGTACTTTATCAGGGAAAACGAAGAGGGAGATCCCTGTGTAATCTCCAGCATTACCTTTCATTTCCTGAGGTAATGATGGATAAAGTGTCTGGAGGGAGAGCACCTCTCCCCTTCTGACACAGTGGGGCCCCTTTGTAACCCTCCTTGGGCTTACAACAGACACCCCTACACAGCAGCTTCCCCTGGTCCTCAAAGTGCTATTATACTGTAGTTAAAATAATTTACATGCTGTTAATATATTTTTTCATGAAATAAAGCCATATATATGTCCATGGAAGAATAAAATGCCTAATTTAGGAAAGAGTTTGACTTTCTGCCTCCATTGACAGCATGCAAACCTCAGAAACTCCTCCATGAACCACGAGGGAAACACAGCTGCTTTCTTTCAAGTGTTTTCTCTTATTATTCTCAGTTGTTCATTAGTCTTGTAAAGCCAACCAGCCATTTTGTCCCAAATATTTGGATAGGTAATAATTCCAACGAAACTCTAGCAGTCATGTATTGATCTGAACAAAAACATGGAGCTTCAGAAAAGTACAGGGGTTGGATGAAGCCTCACAGCAGTTGATGCAGAGCAGAGTTTGCCACCAATTATCACACATAAACATTAACAGAGCACAGAAACGGCTGCAGGACTTCAGGAGAATAAATAGCATTTGCAGATTTAATACTGGCTGTCATATCTCTGCTTTTTGGGGCTTATTAATGACTAACTGAGCGAGAGGAGTCCTTGTTCTGCTCCTCTGTGACTGGAGAAGGCACGAGAGAGATGTGGTTTACATTTCACTAAAGTTAGAAGTCGTGATGTAAAATGCAGAAATAGACATGAATAGAGAAAAAAGCCAAAAAGTGTAATTTGAAAAACATGTTCAAGTGATAGCTGTGTAATATCTCACTTCTCAAAAGGTCCAGAGGAAGAGGGTTATGGGCAGGAGAGTCCTATGGGACTGTTAGTCCCTGGGGAGCAAAATGCTAAGTTTTAGTGTTCATGAAAACTGAGAACACAATTACTTGTTGTGCATGAAAGTTTTTAGCCTTCAAAACTCAGAGAAAAATGTTGATAAGAAGTTCTTGGACCCAAAGGTCCTGCAAATGCTTGGAGTGGCTGCAGCACCCAGAACAATACCCCGTGCCCCAACAGGAACATCACTCTTGACAACAGGAGGCTCTCGTGACATGGAGCCAGTGCTAGCCTTATACCCTCAGCTGAGCAGCAGTGAGCTTCCCTGGATTTCCAGCTGAATCTCAACTTCAGGTTGCCACTCCACCTCCCTCATCCCCAGGGCCAGGAAACAGGACTGACTGCCTTGTTGGGATGACATTACTGGAGCCTGGAGCAGAGCTTCATCCCAGCAGCTCCATGCTCCACGAGGGCAAGGGCTGCTCCTAGACCTCCTGCTCCAAGGACAAATGCTGTGGGAAGTCAGGAAGTCATAGAATGTTAAGAGGTTGAAATGGACTTTACAGATCATCTAGTCACAACTCTTTGCCCTGGGCAGGGACACTTCCCACCAGAGTGGGTTGCTCAAGGCTTTATGCAACCTGGCCTCAAACACTGCCAGGGTTGGGGTAGCCACAGCCTCCCTGGGCAACCTGTGTTACTGGGCCTCAGCAAAAAATTTCCTCCTAATAGCTAATCTAAATCATTCTACCTGAAAGGGGGTTATAAAGAGGTGGTGGATGGTCTCTTCTGCCAAGCCTGCAGTGAGAGGACTAGAGGGAATGGTCACAAGCTGAGACAGGGGAGGTTCAGAGTAGGTATTAGAAAGAATTTTATCGTTGTTAGGGTGTTCAGGCACTGGAATAGTAGTTTGCCCATGGAGGTGGTGGAGTCACCATCCCTGGAAGTGTTTAAGATGCATCTGGACCTGGCGTTGAAAAACACGGTTCAAGAGTTAGAGTGAAGTGCCAGATAACAGCAGGACTTGATGATCTTAAGGTCTCTTCCAGCCTTGATGATTAGATGATTCCAAATTTCCCCTCTTCCAATTTACATCCATTGCTCCTTGTCCCATCCAAGCCAGTGCACACACCTGGCGCCACGGACGATCCCGTGCTGCTCCTGCAGGCGCCAGCCCTTCGGTAATTAAACACTAATCGCTAATTTCGCTCCCGTGTCCAGCTCCGCCCGAAGCAGACTGCTAATTGCTGATCCCTCCCGGACATCGTCCCTCCTTGCTCGGTGTCCCTTCTTTGCCCGATGTCCCTTCCTTGCCCGGTGTCCCTTCCTTGCCCTGTGTCCCTTCTCTCCCCGGGGCCCCCTCTCCGCCTGGTATCTCCTCCTTGCCCGGTATCCCTTCCTTTTTCAGTGTCCCTCCCCGCCCGGTGTCCCTTCCTTGCCCGGTGTCCCCTGCTCTCCCGACGTCCCTCCCCTCCTGGTGTCCCTTCTTTGCCCGGTGTCCCTTCCTTGCCCGGTGCCTCCTGCTCCCCAGGTGTCCCTCCCCTCCCGGTGTCCTTCCTTGCCCGGTGTCCCTTCCTTTTTCAGTTTCCCTCCCCTCCCGGTGTCCCTTCCTTGCCCGGTGTCCCTTCCTTGCCCTGTGTCCCTTCTCTCCCCGGGGCCCCCTCTCCGCCTGGTATCTCCTCCTTGCCCGGTATCCCTTCCTTTTTCAGGGTCCCTCCCCTCCCGGTGTCCCTTCTTTGCCCGGTGTCCTTTCCTTGCCCGGTGTCCCTTCTTTGCCCGATGTCCCTCCCCTCCCGGTGTCCCTTCTTTGCCCGGTGTCCCTCCTCGCCCGGTATCCTTTCCTCGCCCGGTGTCTCCTGCTCTCCCGGTATCCCTCCTCTCCCGGTGTCCCTTCTTTGTCCGGTGTCCCATCCCGGTGTCCCCTGCTCTCCCGGTGTCCCTCCCATCCCGGTGTCTTTTCCCTCGCGCTGTCCCTCCCTCCCCGTCGTCC